GCATAGCCCAAGCTTTGACTATTCTTAAAAAGCTTGACTCCAACGTGGCAATTCATAAGCCACATCATCACAATTCTCCACCTTGACTTTTGAATTAACACCCTATGTGGCCTTGGAACCATATTGATTATTCTTGGACTTGAAGGAGGCTCATACAGAGCCTATGTTTGTCTGCAGTCATTGGTTTAGTAAACATGTCTGTTGGATTATGTGAGCCCTTCACCTTTTCAATCCTTATTTCTCCTTTCTCAATCATCTACCTAATGAAATGAAGTCGTACATCAATGTGCTTGGTTCTTTCGTGGAAGACTTGATTTTTAGACAGGTGAATAGCACTCTAACTATCACTATTAATCACAACAGTTCCCTGTTCCAGCTCCAGCTCATTTACAAACCCCTTCAACCATTTAGCCTCTTTAGCTGCTTTTGTCAAAGCCACATATTCAGATTCAGTTGAAGAAAGTGTGACCATATGTTGGAGTTTTGACTTCCAATTAACCACATTCCCCCATAATGTAAACACAAAAGTAGATGTTGATTTTCTCCGATCAAAGTCTCCTGCATAATTTGCATTTACAAAACCTTCAATGCAGCCATCTTTCCTTTTGTTCCTTCTAAATAAAATGCCAACCGATTTAATCCCTTTTAAGTACCTCAGGATCCACTTAAGGGCAAACCAGTGAGCCTTACTTGGGTTGCTAATAAATCTACTCACAAGACTCACCGAGTAAGCGAGATCTGGTCTTGAACATACCATCAAGTACCTTAGATAACTTAGTGCATTTGCATATGGGATAGTAGCCATTTCCAGTTTATCCTCTTCAGTTTGGGGACTCTGATCATGAGACAATTTGAGATGTTGGCCAAGAGGTGTTTGAACAGCCTTTGCATCCTTCATATTGAACTTTTGCAGAATTTTTTTTTTGCATAATCTTGCTGGACCAGCTTTATACTCCAATGAATTATATCTCTGATGGTTGTAATACCGAGTATCTTTTGAGCTTGACCAAACTCTTTCATCTCAAACTTGGTATTCAAAGTCTTCTTCAGCTGAGATAGCTCAGTTTTGTCATGATAAGCCACCAACATATCATCCACATACAACAACAACAAAATATATGTCAAATCACAAATTCTTTTAAAATAGAAACAACTATCAAAATTGCATATATTAAAGCCAATTTTAATCATGAAAGAATCAAATTTCTTATACCATTGTCGTGGTGATTGTTTTAGGCCATATAAAGATTTTTTTAAAAGACAAACTTTACCTGCTAAATCTGAATACCCTTCAGGTTGTTCCATCAAAATGTTCTCCTCTAAATCACCATGTAAGAAGGTTATCTTTACATCCATTTGCTCTAATTCAAGGTTGAATTGGACAACAAGAGAAATCAGCACCTTGATAGATGCATGTTTGACCACTAGAGAGAATATTTCATTATAATCTAATCTTTCTATCTGAGTAAAACCCTTTGCAACTAACCTAGCCTTATATCTAGGTGGTTCCTTAGGAGTAAGGCTAGGTTTCTTTTTGAAAATCCATTTGTTTTTTACCACTCTACAACTTGCAAGTTTATCAACTAGTATCCAGGTCTGATTTTTCATGAGAGAATTATATTCTTCAACTATTGCTTGTTCCTAATGTGATTTTTCAGATCCTGAGATAGCCTCTTGAAAGGTCCTGGGTGCATTACTCATTTCTTCTTCAACTTGTAGTCTATAGGCAACTAAATCAACATACCCTAACCTGTTAGGGGGTCTAATAACTCTCCTAACCCTATCCTTAGATAGTTGGTAGTTTGTCAAGTTTGGCTCATCATTCTCTTAATTTACTTGTTCAACCTCTTGCTCACCCGTATGATCTCCCTCAAGATTTTCAGAATTTTCTTCATCACCTTGAATCTCATTAGCTCCACCTTGATTCAGAGTTTGGTTAGGAATTATAATTTGAACTTCCAAATCTAAATGATCAAATCCTAAGGAATTCTCTTCTATTTTTCTAAATTCATCCAACCCAAGTAAAATGCCTTCTCTAAACACCACATCCCTACTTGTAATTCATTTCTTAGTCTCTAAATTCCAGAATTTATAGCCCTTAACCCCATCTGGATATCCTAAGAATAAGCACTTGATAGCTCTAGGTTTCAACTTATATTCTCTAACATGTATATAGGATAANGAGTGATCGGGTGAGACAGGATAGATTATACCTAGAGTGTCGTGAAGCCATTTCATTGATTTACCTTGCTTGTAGGTTTAGGGGATTGTAGAGGGTGGAGAAGAATTGTGTGAGTCGGTCTCATGTCGAATCAAAACCGTAACGGCAACATTTTTATTATAAAGTCTTTATTTGTTTTAATCTCACTATTTCATTATTTGCATTTAGTCTATTTAGTTTCATTAATCAATTGCCAATTTCATTTCCACTACTTAAAATACATTAGGTTGTTAGTCTTGCTCCCTGTGGATTCGACCCTACTTACTGCTAACTACGGCATTTAGGTTTAATTTTGTGACTGTGACAACCAGTTCAACACTATCTTGAATAGAGCCTGCCTAATCAGCATTAGTGAAACACTCCAAATGAGACCTGTTGACTTTAGTAAACTGAAGACCAAAATTTGTAGTGCCTTTAAGATATCTTAGAAGTCTTTTGCAGACTTTCCAATGAAGTTGAGTGGGAGCTTTGAGAAATTGGCTTAACTTTTTGAATGAATAAGCAATATCAGGTCTAGAAAGTGTTAAATACTATAAAGCCCCAATTTGCTTCTATATAGAGTTGGGTTGTCATATGTATCACTGTCTATGCAGGTTAACTTGTTGCCTACAACCATGGGAGTAGAGCAAAGTTTTGAATCTAACATACTAGTCTTAGAAAGGAGGTCTCTAGCATATTTTTCTTGGCTCATGTAGATGTGTGAATTTGTTTTGTGGACTTCAAAACCCAAGAAATACTTAAGAGAACCTAAAGTCTTAAGAGCAAACTTAATGTTTAACCTTTGGACAATATTCTGTACTAACTCAGTATCATTTCCAGTTAACAAAATGTCATCCACATAGACAATTACATATAAGACCTGAGCATTCTGCCTAAACCAAACACACAATGTTCACAATCAGATTCCCAATTTTATTCCCACACAATAAATTTTGTCTACTTAGTTCTCCTAAACCCTTTTCACTAACATGTGCGAGCCTTTGATGCCACAATGAGTTTTATCTTGAACCTCTGTTGACCTTACAACAGCCACTCCACAATCTGTTTTACCTTTTAACACATAAAGCCCATTTCTCCTTCAGCCCTCATAACCACCAAGGATCATTTCATCACATTAAGACTCCTATTTATTGCCTTGTAACGTAGGCCTATTGAGTCTAAAGTGCCTAGAGATATTAAGTATCTTTTAAGGTCAGGGATATACCTCACATCAGTGAGGATTTTGGTTAATCCATCACTACTTTCCCACCATCTAAGGGTTGAAAGGAACTGAACCACTCCCTAGTTGGTGTCATATGATAGGTACATCCTGTTCTAAGATCCATTCTTCACTATTTTTGCCATCAGAAATGACTAGAACCTCAAAACTCTCATATCCTTTAGCTATAACTCCAACACTGCCTTCTTCACCTTACTTTTCATGTTTCTTTTTACCTTTTCTCTCAGGACAGTCCCTCCTAAGATGACCTTCTTTATGACAAAAGAACACTTCCATTTCCTTGTTTTAGATTTAGACCTATTCCTATTGTTTCCTCCCTTTTTCTAATTTCTCTTCTCTAATCTACTTCTAACCATAAGACCTTCACCATCACTGCCATGTTTATCTTTCATCCTATTCTCACTACCCTTAGTTGTAATAGTTTCTACAACCTCTTCTAATTTTAGGGTCTGGCTACCATACTTTAAGGTTTCCACAAAATTAGAGTAGGACTTTGGCAAAGAATTTAATAGGATTATGGCCTAATCCTTATCACCAATTTCTACTTATATGCTCTTTAGGTCTTGTACTATTTTTAGAAATTCATCCTTATTATCTTTCAAGGTTTTTTGTTCATCCATTTTAAACCCAAACAATCTCTGTTTTAAGAATAACCTATTAGGAATAGCTTTAAACTGGTCAAGAGTATCTAACATGTTCCGGATTGCAGATGTTGTTTTCTCCTCCTTAACCTCTTGAAGGACTTTGTCACCTAGTCCTAGGATCAAGGAGCTTTTAGCCTTATTCAGCACATCCTGCTTCTCAATTGCTGTCATCGTTTTAGGTAGTTCAAATTCTCCTTTCAACGCCAGGGCCAACCCTAATTTTACCAGCACAGCTTCCATCTTCATCTTTCATAAACCAAAATCATTCTCTCCTGTAAAATTTTCAAATTCAAACTTAGATGACATGTTTTCAAAGGGATGTTAAAACAACAATATAGAAGAAATACTATGGTACATGAAATCAATGAAGAGCTAGTATTCTAGAAGAGATTACAAACAAGAACAACTGAATAGAACCCTAAAGAAGCCTTGAACCAGACTCTAATACCAATTTGTAGAAATCTAGGGTTAACAGTGTGTCTTAATCTGAATCTCAAATGGGTTTAATTTAATAAACAATCAAACATAAAACTATGAGTCAATCAACCAACACATCTAGGATAAATAAATCAACAAAAATAGAGTAATCAAGAGTAAAGACACTGCAATTTATAGTGGTTCAGCTGTAAAGCCTACATCCACTCTTCAAGGCTCACTGTACGGTATTATTACTCATGAATTTCAAAGGTACAAAGAAGAATTGAAAAGAAAAGTACAAGGAAGGAACACACCCGAGAATAACAATCCCTAACTCTCTTTATGAAAGGCTCTGCCCTTCCTTTAATAGCCAACATGATTTTATACACCCACACACTTCTCAGATCAACCTCCACCTGGATTAATGTACTCCACAGCCGTAAGATGAAGAAATACCCTAGAAGCTTCTCCATGTTCATGCTTCTAATGAGGCATGGAGAGAAACGTTTGTTGCTGGAGAAGTGGACCACTTGACACAATATGTTAAGTGATCCCAAATGCAAAATGGTGTCGCATAACTCAGGCTTGACTCTTCTTAAAAAAGTTTGACTCCAACGTGGCAATTCATAAGCCACATCATCACAATTAGCCTTAGGATAATTTTTGTTTTTGTTTTTGTTTTTTTTTTTTTTTTTAGTTCATTAGAACTCACAATTCCAGGTGGTTGTTCAGCCTTGCCTTAACTTGGAGTCTGCATTTATTATTCACAAATTAAGAACTCAATGAAACTAGCATCTTTAGTATGGATGGTCGTCCATATAATATGGACTGACGTCCATTATTATATTTAAAAAAAACTATGGAGGGTTTTCATATGAGGTGGACGTCCATTCAGAGGAAATGGACTCCCGTCCATATAATATGGACGGGAGTCCATGTTATTTTTCATGGACGTTCGTCAATTCATGATGAATGGTCGTCCATCAAATATGGACGGACGTCCATAATTGTTGGACGATCGTTCATTCACGGAAGACGTGTTTTGTCTTCAACATGGCTGTGTTTGAATGGATGCCACGTACGTTAGTACAAAAATTCGGTGCAAATTATTGGTGTCCGTAGCATTATTGATCACGACAGAATATATATCAACTGAATATTTATGTATTTATGTGACTATATTTTATTGATTTGACATATTATTGCAAAGTAATTTGTAATTATGAGAAAAAAAAAAAAACAATTTTGTTTCTTAGCACATGTTTGAAAACTGAATGAAAGTAGATATATGTTACCAATTTATATATGCATAAATACATATTAATTTATTAAAATAATGAAGAAAATTTAAAATAGAAGAAAAACAAAACAATGAAGCAATTTTTTCCATAAAAGAC